TTAACAAATTAATTAGAGCACCACTCAATGTAAGGCTCGCACCACAGCTGCCATAAATTAACAGAATTGATAATTAATACAATAATTTTTTATGTTGTTATAATAGTTAATCCACCTGTGTGTGCAAGCTCCTTAATGCTAAAACACAATTCTTGTTGTTTTCCATGAATTTTTAAATTTACCATTATACAAAAAAGCAGAAAAATCATTTTCAATTAAGATGCCAAATTACAGGCACTTACGTGCATTCCTGAACAGAAAAATTAGTTTTAGCACTTGAATTTATTCTTGAGTAATTCTGACTTCTCAAACATGAATTCAGTTTGCTATTTGCCTAAAAAATAATAATAATAATATAATATTTATTTATAAATGCGTTTTTTAAAAAACATGTTCTTTACTTATTCTTTTGACAGGTGGTCTAATAAATTTGTATTGTACGAGTCTCCTGTATTATACAATATACATTTTTGAGTGTTTTATTTATTTGTGTAATTATGAATTGGATCAATTCCAATATGGGCATTAGAGGTTATCCAGTCGGTCATGTATAATGAGCTGCACTTGGCTCTGGACCTGGGATTTAATATAGTGCTTATTAAATAGAGAGAAACTTGGCACTGCATAATGTCCACATAGACATTCACCTAACAGTGTTTACAGGATAAATGCACACATAAATGTTTCATGGGTTTCTTCAGGGACATGATTAAATATAGTGATTGCTGTTATGTCATTAACATAATGGCTTAATTATCACGTATAATTTGTGATGAATTAAGCAGCTTTTTGTTCCACGGTTACAGAGAGAGTGCCCAACGCCACATTGCCCAGATTAGGATTTTTAAAAGATGATTTAATCATGAGTTAAACCGATCCAGTTTTACATGAGGGATCTACAGATCTCAGATATACAAATGCGCACTGATTTCTAAGAGGCGGGAGAACGGCTGCTTTTACAATAGTGTGGCTTCATATCAGGCTTTATGACAAGTGCGTGACACAAGGGCAGAGAAAAGGATAGGAAGCCTTGCTGTCGGCTCTGCCCACCTCGGCAACCATCTGTTTGAAAAACATTCCCTGGGATCTGCATATCCATTAAGAGCTGCGAGCACTTAATCAGCCTCCCTCAACTTCACCCAGTCCAGAGGATGTCCTGTCCATTCAAGTCTCTGTAATCCTCACTGTTGTCAGATGCATTTACTTGCTCGTACAGTTTTCAGGAAACAGTGTAAGTTACTGCCTGGTTTGGTTGTTGGAGGGGTGGGAGGGATGTTATTATGTTGCACTTAAGACTGTGATCCTAATAAAATGGCAGCTTAAGATGGCAAAGTCTTAAGATGACAGGATTATAAAGATTTATATATAATCTCTGTTGAGTGTTGATTCTACCACTGAAATAATTAGAACTTCTTTTTCATTTTATTGGTTATATTCATCCAATTGCAGCATAAAATCAGAAAACACGTGATTCTGTAATATCTGACTCAATTTTAAGTTAATGCCATCTTCAGCTGTTTTCTTAATTTCAACTTTACATTATAGTTTAAAGAAGTTACGTCATTCCTTACATCATAGTAAATTATATCCTCATTTAAGGTCCCTAGGTCTTGTCGTAGAATAACCGTAATGCACATAATATTTAGTCAATGAAAAAAACAGAGGCACTGCAGTTCATGGTGCTTCTGGGGTACCCCTGATGGTGCTGTTAATGGGAAAATCTGGTGTTTGATAGCTATATATTTTTAAACTCAGATGAAGGCTGGAGGTCAAAAGGTGATGTTTTTTATCCTCTGTGAAATGTGTTGCTGCCCACCTTTATCCAATATGTAACTGAACAGCTGTTGGAAAATCAGATCTCACCACATGCCCACAAATCATTAACAGTTTTCTGCATTAAATTTGAAGAACTTGTGAACAGAGAACAAGCTATGTGATATTTCACATTCAGTCCCCTGTTGCATCCCTCTAAACTTCTAAAGATGAGTGATGTTTGAACAGATTTGTTTTTTTTCTAAAACCCTCTGAAAAGGTCACATTTGTAGAAAATCTCAAAGGTACTGGATATTATATGAAGATGAATAATAATATTTTTTGAGCTTTTTAAAAACCGTTGCACAAAACAAAAACTCTTGACCTGGGTTTCTAGTGACTACGCCAGAGATTCAGGTAAAACTCTCCCCACAGGCTATGTGCTCAGTCCCGTTTTGCAGATCCACTGCACAACATTTTTCCCCATCTTGCCACTGTGTTTCAGCTAATGAGTGGGGGGTTGTTTAGACAATGCATCTTGCAGCTCTTATGCTGCTGGTTTACTGGTACAGGAGAAAATCAGTCAACACTAAAACTTGGAGGTAAAATGAAACTCTTTAACTTGTTTGTCTGGGACGGGTTGTTCTATGTACTGTCCACGTTGCAGCACGTGTCATTGCACAGGATGCAAGGTCCTCTTGTCCTTGTATTGTGTTTTTTTGTGTGTATTCCAAAGTGGCAGTCGACCCGTGCCTGAAACAATGTCACCAAGAAAAAAGTCCCATTGATTTAACCGCACAACTCATCGCCTGCATGCTCTTCAATACTAAAAACTGATTTACTGCGATTATAGTTTCTGTGAGCCTGATGATGAGTTTAGATGTTAGGATACATGTAGAGAGAAAATGGAGGCTTGCGTAAGTTATTGGCAGCATGGCACAGAATGATAATAATCCTATATGAAGCATAAAATGTTATCTGTTTTATCAGGTTTGTTTTTCTGACTGCGACAGACTCACTGAATCAAGGATCATTCTAAACATGTCCAGTTGCACTTGGAGTATATATGTGCACCTTGCAAGAAAAAAAAAGATTATCATAAATATGATTATAAAAAGTAATTATGTGAGCTGTGCAATCAGGGAACTTCTGCCCCAATATAATTAAAGATTTTGTGGATGAAACAACATTTACAGTCTGAATTTCGGACCTCTATGAAGAGAGGGGGGATTTTTCAGAAACCCTGGACTGCAGCAGACCAAAAAGGTTCATTTAAGCAGTGCTGCAGCTCCCTCAGAGTGCGTTAAGGTGGCGCAGCAGTGAAAGGGTACGTTGGAGGCTGCAGATTCAAAGCCTTGGACTGGCTCTGTGCTGGTAAACAGGAGAGGTTCATCTTAAACTCTCTTGCCTCCCTCATCAACTTACAGTTCTCGTTAATGCATTTTACCTGCCACTGGAGCAGGTGAAAACAGGAAGATTACTTGTTTACTGTGGGCACTGCTAGGGTGTGAGGCCATGCAAACGTAGCAGTGCATTACATGCTCAGTGAATCCTCCCTGCAGTAAATATTCATGGTTCAGTGGTCTGTCTTACTCTGAATATTTAATGACTCAATTAGTAAACTAAAATTTGGAAAGATTCGCCCAATACCTGAAAAGCTGCATGGCCGTTGATGACACCACCCGCCAACATTTTACTGCTGTTGTTTTTTTCTTGCTTTTCCATAGCCAATCTTTTAATTTAATTTATATCGTGTCTGCAGATAGCGGATTTTCAATGTCAAATGAGTGGCTCGAAGCAAGGGCAGGCAGCCACTTGTGAGGACCGGGCAACCTACAGACAGAAGAAAGGGGAAATGGAATTCCCTATGCATAAAAGACTTGGCGATATCAAATCTGATCTGACTTATCTCTTTATTGTAGTCTGCCTGGCTTTGTTCCAAATCGCTGCCAAGTGTGCATTCTCATTGTGAGGACCATTTTTGCAAAACAAAACCTCTATTTTTAACAACTCGGCCCTACAGTTACAATAGCAAGTGTGAATTTAATGCTTAAGTGAATCTTTCACTTGCCCTTTCTGTACAGCATGAAAGCTTCTTTTCTTCTTCTTCTTCTTCTTCTTTTCTGGTTAATGCAATTCATAAAAGATGAAATGATGCAATTTATGGATCAAAATGAGTCCATCGTTCAATCTCATTGATGAGTTTTGTCTGCCTTCGATTTTCAAGTAATCTGCAGTTTTATATTTATGAGTTTGACATTCATTATAGTGTTTTTGTCCATTACTGGATCCTTCCCTTTTAACAAAATTCAGAGTCCCTCTACTCGTCAGTCTGTGTCTCAGTCTTGGCTGGATGAGTAAATAACAGCAGGTGCAACGGAGTCTCATAGAGGTCAGGGGTACAGAAATGCAGTGTATAAACATGCAGTCTACTCACAATATAATATCCCGTTGCTGTGATTAGATGATAAATTGAAATTTTTGGTTGATGTATGAATGGAAAAAGCACGATTAACTATTTCTACAGCTTAATTTTGTGCCAAAAATCATAAGCAAGAAAAAAAGTAAAAGCATACAGTTTGTCGGTATTTTCCCCAGCACAAAACTATAAACCATCTAGATCTTACACACAGAGATCTGGTGTCGGATTTGTTGAAAAGGTTGTACAGCGCACACCCTCTGGAGCTCTCCAGGGTCCTGATTTGGCAGCTGAACTTCAAATTCGGGAGTTACAGCTGTTATCGTTACTGTCACTGGTTGAAACCATACTCAAAGCAAGCAAACAGACAGATAGCAAAAAAACAACAAGCCTCACCTTCCACTTCATCCTCAGGCAGGTTAACAGGGGTCCGGTAGGTGAGGACATCTGGAATAGTGCAAAGTCCCTTGTACATGAACCTGGTGGTCACAGCACGCACTGGCATTTCTGCGAGGGAAAAGCAACAACTGTGTCTCGATCTTCATATAGCCTCGCTCTCCGGAGTTTTGACAGACCCTTTGCTACTGTCCTTGATCTTTTAGGCAAAAGAAACTCAAGCAAATGAAAGGAGGTAAACCTTCCCTCAGCGGAGTTCAACCTTCCTTATTGTCGGCGAGTGCAGAAAGCACGAGTAAAATCACCTCGACTGAAAATGCAGATTGTAAATCGCGGTTGGTTTCAGTGCACAGCCCCTTGCAGCGTGTTGTGATCAAGACACGAGGCGAAAAGGCAAATAAAATTGGCGTGTAAAACTTTTACTTCATAGCTTGTTGAGCAAAGCGACAGTATGTCTAGAGCCCTAAATAAAGCCTCAAACGAGCAAATATTTGGCTTATATTAAAGTCAAGATCCAAATCAACGGGATAAACAGGCTAATTTGCAATTCTTCCAAAGCTCCTGCATCACAGCATTAAAACGAGGAAAAGAAGCACGTAAAAAGAAATGGGAGAAAAATTCTACCCTAAAAAGATAATTTACCTATAATGTTTCTTACTGATTCCTATAAGGAGTCTTGATCTTTTAAATAGTCTGTTCCCGGTATAGTCTGCCTCACTTTTATTCCCCGTTTCGGCATCTTCTTTAAAAAAAATTTAAAAATCGACAACACAAGATAAAGCAGCAGCGCTGGCGTGCTGATCCTATCCGGTAAACGAGGCGGGAAACAAATCTTGTAACATTCTTTTTTCCTGAAGAGCAGCTTGAAGGGAATCCTGGGTGACCCCCTCTCATGTGACACAGACACGGTGTATAAGGCTGTGATCCTCTCTCTCCAGCTCTCTGCTTCAGCCTCAATTGGTTCTCACAAAGCAGCACACACACAAGCACCCGTGCACGCACGCTTTCACCATACTGCCACCGCCTCCATTAAAGCGCAGCCTGTGACTGCTTCCAAACTGCCCGCCTGTAATGCGATTATCTTTATTCTTTGTGCTCGGCAGTCTGTATAAGTGCTAACACAATATAAAGGTCTACATGTCTAACAGTGAGAATGGAGCAACAAGTGTGGCTTTTGAGCCCAGTCAGCCTATTGTGATTTGCATTTTTTCTCATTTATCGCTACACCGATCCTGGGAATAAAAAAGTGAAAAACTGAAAGTGAAAAAAATATCAGGGAGAATTGAAGCGTGAATTTAGTGAGATGCAGAATATATTAGGGAATTTGGAATAAATGCCGTGCTCGTTAGTGAAGAACAGTTTTCTTTTGGAGAAACAGACTTTGAGAATAGCTTATGCATTAGTGACTACAAAGCTATCTTCCTGCAGGCGGTTTGCTTAGTATAGCAAAGATTTGGAGAAGCGGTTGCTGACCAGAAGGTAAAAAAAATCCCTCCACCAACACTTTTAAGACTCTCTAATTCATCTGGTGGTTTCTGGTGGCTGTTACACTGAGCATGCAGGAGGCAGCATGCGTTATGCCCAGGCCAAAATGTTGAATGCGCAGTTTGCTGTGCAGTTTGCTCATGGGCTGGCAGTGCCTGCGTTAAAATGGCACGAAAAGAAAGAAAATAAATGATCAAAGAGTTGAAGCTGTGAAGCTGGCCTGAACCTGCAGCAAACACGGATCTAACTTCTTAGTCTGAAAAGTGGAGGTATGTGAAATCCCATACACTCATACACGTCTATGGTTTTTAATGGTCAGCAGGAGGCGACTCCACTTGTTACAAAAAAGAGGTCGTAGTGTAGGTAGAAACCTGTGACAGTGACAGGTCACTGATCTGCAAGCATAAACATAGTAAGTTAAATGGTGGTGGCAAGGGTGCTCAAGGTGGTTCTCGAGTTTGTGTGACTTTGTCTAATGGGTGCTGCTTCCATTGCTTATATACAGTCTCTGATGAAAGAAACAGTCATTTTTGCACTTTACTTTTGTGGATTCCTGAGACAGGGCCTGTGGAGTGGCAAAGGTGGGGGTTATCATTTTCAAAAAGGGTGTGCTGCATTTAAGAGTGAACCACACTACTCAGTCTCCTGAAAGAGGCAATTCCAGACAGCTGGAAAGGTTTGCCTGTTGAGGCTTCACATGCTTTTGTGGAATATAAGAACTGATAATACCCTAGCAGCACCTGTGGAGTGCATAAAGGAGTATGGGGTTCGGGCCTGCTGTTATGGGCCTTGTATAATCTAAGTTAGAACTGTCTCTGTGCTCTTGGCACAAGGTGAAGCACTTTTCCAGAAGATGGACTCTGCCAGTCTCCAATCCTCTTGTTATATTCATGGACAGGGTATAAGTGTCTCAAGGTGTAGCTGAGGTGGCGAGGGTTTCTGTTTTGGAACCACAGAATAACATCCCTGCTTTCTGCAGATGATGTGGTTTTGTTGGATTCATCGTGACCGTCAGCATGTAGTGGAGTGGTTTGAAACTGTGTGAAACAGTCATTTCAGCCATTACATCCGCAGCAATGCAGGTGTTGTACCGGGGTGTTGTGTTGAAGAAGGATCTTTTGATTTCCCAACAGCTGGACTGATAAAATAGCCTAACTCATGTTCCATGAGATTCTTGTTAAGCAGACAACAATAAAAGCAAGAAAATGTGTTTATTCCCCCAATTATGAAACTATTGACTGAAAACTCTGAGTTTCACTATGTCAGTATTTAAAATGACCCAAGCTCCTGACAGCAAGTCAAGAGCAGCAAAAGTCATAGCTATTAGCTACCCTTTAAAGAGTTAAGGGGAAATCTGAATTTGTTAATGACCAAAGTATCTTCCTGGCAGTGAGCACACAGAGAGGACTACAGGCAGCACACATTTTTGATTGTTTAAACCTGAAACAAAGAAACAACACCCCTCCCCCCAGCTCTATTTTTTGTTCAGAACCGGCTGTGTGACTCACTGAAATATTATGAATGTTCAGTGCGATGCATCCAGATCCACAACACAAGAAAACACAATCATTATCCACCAAGAATTCCTGCATCTTGAAAGATGACGCCCTGCATTAGTATCTTTCCAACCTGGTTCACACCAGATAAGTGTGGTGTGTGCTGAGAGAGCTGCATGTGGTTCCACTGGTTGGTTCTTCAAGGGTTTAGAGGACTGACAGGTCTATTCCCCTCTGAATGTGAAGGGATTGTCTCTCTCTGCTGCACCTGAGCCTCCCGCTGCCTCAGTGTGCAGACAAGCAAACTTCGTAAAGCCTGAATAACAGGCTTTGTTCTGATACTCAATATGAGGGATATGTGATGGCTCAGTTTCTGACACCTAAATCATTTTAGAAATGTGGAACCACGTGGAGAACTGCAGCACACACATATAGTACAATCATTTTATACTAATCTCAGTAATATTTGCTGCTCTTAGACAAACAAAAGCTTCTTGAATTTAAAGTAAAACATTGCAACAAATGATAAAACGCTAAGATTCCACCAGTTTTAAAAAGATAACCGTTTTATCTATTTAAGCATTTTTTTAAAATCTCTGCAGGTACCTGGAAAATCTCTGGGAGCACCTCAGTCTCTCTCACTCTCCTCACACATACAGTAAAATATTTTGTGAAATAGGTTTGTGAGAGTCGACTGCGCATTGCAGTGGATGGCCATGCAGACATGTGAGGCTAAAGTGCCTCAGAGGGGGGAAAAGGGAGCAGTGGCTGTCATCCAGCGTGTGGGTGCCTGGAGAGGAAGATCGAGCCAGTGGGGCATTTCCACTGGTGGAGAGCACCTAACCTGACATCCGTCCCATTATTAATAAATTAAGTGTCAGGGATACGGGAGGAGTTGTGTGCAAATGGAAAAATAGGAGGCAAGAGACATACCTACGGGGGCTGACATCCAGGAAGCCAGGATGGAAGTATTCCTCGCTACGAAGAGGAATATTTTAAATGGCAAGGACTGATTCCCTCAGTCCATCCTGATTAAGGTCCCAGACAAACATGGCAGTTAGCATTAGGATCAACTAAATACACAGCACCTGTATTATAATCATATATATTTAAGCACATACATCTTATTGTGGCACTCTCCAGGCACAAGCTTCATATCTCCCCTATTCATTTTTTCTGCCAACACTTGATAAGATGTCGACATATCTCGAGGTTACATTGCATTTTAATTACGTGTTATCAATATGTGTATTTCTCTCTTAGACTTCTCTAACAGAAGTTAGGCGGTTGCACAAAAACAGAGTGACGTATTTCAAGCATTTCTTATGCAAAGGCTAACTGAGCTCAGGCAGATATTTCCATGTTAGCAGTCGCAACCTGATGAACAAATGACAAAAAGTGGGGAAAACCAATTTGTTTTGGGAGTTATATTAAAGAAAAATTGTCATCCCTAAATTTTATTTGCATATTCTGAGTGTGAACGATGAGTTAATAGTACAGAGTACTGTCATATATTAATATCACAGCATTCCCGTTGGGTGGCTGTGGCTCAGGAGGTAGAGCGGGTTGTTTACCAAGATACTGAACCCCAAGTTGCATCCATGTGAGTGTGTGCATGAATGTTAAACAAGGTGTAGAAAGTCTCAGTTAGAGTAGAAAAGTGCTATACAAGTATAAGCCCATTTATCCTTCAAGATTTATGGTCCACATTTCTTCGTACTATTATGTGCTTCTATATAAGTTTTGAATTAAAGCCGGTACTTTAATGTTCGACATAACGTTCTTGCCAAAAGCTCGATATGAGTAGTATGACGTAACTGTTCACTCATTCGTTTTTGTCAGCTTGATAAAACCGAGAATTCACACCACATTAGTTAAGAATGAGACAGCATTATTTAAAATACAAATTTTCTAAATCTAAACACACCAGAGGATCTAAAATTGAGACATTTGTGTTTGCTGGCCTTTTTTTCTATTGATCTTCATGATGATTGTAAAACATACAACAGGCAGTAGTGCCCATTGCCTTTACTTTTCAGGCTTGATTATTTGGTATTCAATCATTCACATTTTGTCCACCGTTAAGTTCTGTTAAGTGCTGAGAGACATCTGTCTGTTGACTTTAATGGGATTTTGTATTTATCTTAAAGCAAAAACATGGGTTATTTAAAAAAAATCAACAAACCGGAACAGTTTTTCCCTACATGGTAAATTCAATCTCTCAGGCTAACAATGCAGAAAAAATCCCCAAAAATCTCATCAGTGACACCTACAGCAACCCAATTTGCTGTCAAATATTCATTTGCGATTATTGATTGCCTTTGTAATTGACTGCAGAACCTTTGGTTTTGGAAACGATGGGGTCACACCATGACGGGCTTTTGTGTGACCAGAATCCCATCAGATCTCCAAGAATTACACTAGAGAAAGCCGCTGTTCCCCTTTGTTTTCTTTTTTTTGTGGGGAGGGGGCTGTTTATTCAGTGAAGAATTAAATCATGTCGGTGTTACTTACACTGCCCACAGTCACGAATTCAAATAAGGGAGGAAAACCTCTTAAATACAGAAAATGAACAAATCACAGGAAGAGCAACTGCTAGACGATGGGTGTTGTCTTCAAGTATGAATACAGACACAGATTTCAAATAAAATGTATGTGATTTTTAAAAAATAAATAAGGACATCCATCCCCTTTGGCTGAAGGAGCACTGTTACACAGCTAAAAACACGGGGGCTTTACAGATACACTGCTTTCATTTTTTTTTCATATGAATGGACTACCTGGTGTATTTTCTGGCTCTGTGTACAAAGACACCACAAGTCTAGTCTCTGGTATGTTATTTTGACACACACCCTGGTAAATCCCAATCAAAGCATTTACAGCAAACAAAGAAAAAGTGCAATAATGTTGGTATCTTACTGCAGATTAATATTATATGAATAAAAGGGAAGCAGACAGGCAGCAAAGGATGCCCGTTTTTCTTGTTTCATTACCAGGAAACATATTCGTAATGATGTCAGAGGAGCTGACACGTCTCTTAAT